GGTGACATCCTTGCAAATACTGCTAGTTTTTCTCTATCTTACGTGGGAGGGTATACCTACAAAAGTCACTCCAATGATAAAGTCAGGTGTTGGTTTAGGCAATAAATGCTATTGAATATTTAAAAGTCAACCCCTTACTTGTACCTCTTACTTTCCTTTTATAAGCAATGTTATGGGCTAATGGGCTTTGTGGATTAGCCCTGTCTTTAGCCTTCTAATTTAAGTAAATAATGATCTAATTATTTATCCTAATCGGTTTAATTATCCTTTAATTTATTCTTAATTTGACTGGGAGGGTGCTCATCTTATTTGGACCGAAGGAGTATTCAGATTCTTTCTTTTATCTTTGAGATCGAGTGATACAGCACACAAACTAACATAATCCTCACGTTATCTTTCGTGAAACTCAATGCTTGAAACATAAAGTAAGATTTCTCCATAGCAAATGCACCTTTCTTCATGTCGATGGAGGAATCTAACAGGCACATGCACATGAACAAGTCTGTGAGCCATGACAGTAGTGATGTGTTTTCCTTTAAAGTTTTGGATAATGGGGATGGATTATTAATTTTTAAAAATAATTAGAAACTTTTTCGCAATATTAAATTTAAAATAATAAAATTTTAAAAATAGTTATAATAGTAATGAGTTAAACTTTCGTTGTTCAAATCATCACTTAGCAATCAGTACACACCAAATTTTAATAAATAAAAAAATTAATGACTAAATCTTAAAGAAAAAATTTTAGAAACTAAATTAGAAAAATATAACACCTTTAGAAAAAAAAAACACATAATATCTTATACAACACCACACTAATCATTGCATAATATTAAACTTTTCTGATATAACATCACACTAAACTTACACAACATTAAAATTTCATCAATATAAAATTAGGCATTATATTAACAAAGTGTTATTATAAGTTATGTACCAAATACATCATAAGCTTCATCATCAAGACATTTCAACTAACTACTGAGTAAAGATGTCACTTAAATTTGAATAGGATATTATAATATTTATTTATATCTACATTAAAAAAATTAATCCTTATAGATATCTACATACCATAATAACTATAATATCATTTTTTGTATTCTATAAATATTTAGACACCTGTACCCAAATTAAATACCCTTATTTTAATTAAATAAAAGTGCTACTTAACACCCTAATCATATAGATGAGGTTGTTTAGAGAGCCGGCTAACGAATCTTCTCAACTCCCAGACTTACAGAAACAATACAACCACAAAGAACAATAGCAACGAAGAATTAAGCTTTTCAACTTTTGAGTCTTAAGGGAAACTCATAATAAACCTTACAAGGTAGAGGAGAGGGGATAAAATAATGGGAAAGGGAGATGAAGTGTATTGCAGAGGATTAAATTTGTACACTCAGTTCATATCCCATGTCTTAACCAATTGAGTTGACTCAAGGGCATTAGGGGTTTTCAATTTTGAGATAAGAATAATAAATCATTAAGATTGAATTTGTGAATTTTGAATATAACGTTATAACACTAAAAGTGTAATATTTATTTTATTTTATTTTACTTTAAATAATATGCAAGTATAAGCTTGAATGAGTGGTAAAGTATTTATACCTGCATCAATTCTCATAAACTTTTATGAATAAATATCTGGACTTGAATTCATATGCATTTAACATATATTTTTTTCTTCTTTATCATGAGTATTTATTATAAGCATCCGTTATATATAAATTAAATAACCACTCCTACTGCATGAGAGTTGAAACGATAATATATATAGTTTAGTAAATAAAACATTTATTATATGTTAAACAAGATGAGCCTTTTATTTTTAATGAACTAAACATAACATTAACCCCTCTTGATCAGCTCTAAATCTTGTAGACACGCCAAGTGTTTAGCACACCATAAAGTAACCCAAACCTAGCAAACATAATACAATTGCTCAAGATCTTACAATACCATAATTTCTAACAAGCAAATCTTGAATGGTTTGGACGATGATGGGGTTCCTCTATGCCAATCCAAGTGATTTTTTGTGGGCTAAAACACAATCATACATCAACTTTCCATCAGGAAGTGATTTGGACACAGTCTCTTTTTGCATGCATCTCTTAGCCCAAGCCAAGAGTTTAGGAAACTCTTCTTCCATTTTGAAGTTGCCAAATATCTCAGAAGTATAAAAACAACAAGTGAAGGGAATAAAACCAACATCAAGAAACCCAAATGTGTCACCCCCATAAAAAGGTTTGTCACCCAAGATCTCTTCTAGTATCTTTAAACTAGAGATCAACCCCATCTTCCCAGCTTCATGCTCTTCTCCTTTAGAAAGCCACATTTTCTTCCAACTTTCATACAACTGCATTGAATATCACATTTTCTTTTTGGTATTAAAAATATAGATTAACATACAAAATAATATATATATAGGATTAATAATTAAAAAGTTTTTGTTTTTTTTAATTTTTTAACTGTTAGATTATTTGATCTGTACGGTTGAGATTTGGTGTGAGTCGTTGAATAATGTAAATCATATATATATATATATAATTTTCTTTTAAACAGAAATATAAAAGATTAAAAAAAAATCTTTTATTTAGCCTAGTTTAGACCCTCTCAATTTTATTTTTTCTTTTAGACAAGTAAATATTAACAAGGATGAAATGCACATCATCGAATCCAGAGTTGGGAGTGGACTATAGTAATAACAAAATCCCAAAACATTAGTCTTAAATTTTGAATTGAACCCACCAAAATTTAGAAGAAATAAAAATAGAAATCATATGAAAGCAAATCAAAGGAGGTACCTTTTGGTCAATGAAATCTACCCAAAATTTGGCTTGAGCTCTCCGGTAAGGATCAGAGGGCATGAGTGGAGCCTTGTCGTTCCAGACCTCGTCTATGTATTGCACAATAATTGCAGATTCACAAATGGGTTTGCCATTATGAATGAGAACTGGAATTTTCTTGTGAATAGGGTTCATCTGAAGAAGCAAAGGGCTCTTGTTCCTGAGATTCTCTTCCTTGTACTCATACTTAACACCCTTTTCAGCTAATGCAATTCTAACCCTCTTCCCAAATATGCTAACCGAGTTATCCAACACAACCACTTCATCTGCCATTGTTGCAAAGGATCACCAAAATCAAAATGAAATTGTGAACTAGCACAAACTCTAGATGCTCTTTAGGATACCAATATAGCTTCTCATTTATAAAGGTGAAGTCAACATAATTTTATATTGTGTGATGTTCTGGTTTACAATATCAATGTAAATGGTTCCTACTTAAGTGTCTTCTGTTTATAATATCAATGTATTGTACCCACCTGACGCATGGATAATTACAATTATTTTAAAGATATAAAAGTAATAATTAAAGAAATGCTTTCTATATTTTTGATTGATCTGCAAGTACATCAGACAGGGAAGGGCTAAACTATTGAACCGCCTCAATATATATAATTATATATTATATATTAGTATTGATGGTGAAAGATTATATATTGATTAATTTTTTTCAAGCTGCATTAATTAAAAATATTTTAAATTTGTATATAACTTTTTTTATTTATTATATTCTCTTATTTGACAGTATTGTGAGGTAAGCTCTTTACGTGGTTAAATGAAAAGTTTAAATATTATAAACATGTGTTATTTTCTAATTGTCGTTATGGTGTGTTTTTTTAATTTTAAAGTTTTCATAATGTTAATTTTTGTGCTTTAATTATATTATCCTAGTTCTCTGTATGAAAGAAACTCCTACATAAAATTTAACTTTTTTCCAACAAGTATATACTAATTTCTTTTAAGATGAATAAATTTCAAACTAGATACATTTTTTTTTTCATAATCAATATACTTAAAGAACTAAATTATATACTAATTATATTGAGTCTTGTTAGTGTACAGAAGTATATTAATAAATGAGTAAGTTGAAATAAATAACTAATAATAATAAAATTTTATTAAAAAAAGAAGTATTTATTATATTTTTATGACTTCAATACAATAATTATATACTTTTTATCATAAAAAATTTTTGTCTCTAGGTATTTAAATTCTGCCCTAAAAGCTAAAAGCTAGATTAACAAAACTCTTAATAAATTATATAACTACATACATTTTTTTTTGTGTAATTTTTGCTAAAAAAAATACTTTCAAGATAGGAATCCAAGCAGGGTAGCTTTACTTGACAATTAGTTGCAATTCATGGATGTCTATTCAACATAAAATAAGCTGCTGGGTAAACCTTAGATTCCCAGGCTTGTCTAACATTTTCATTATAAAGAAACTGTGACCAAAACTTCAAAACCCAGTTAGTTGATATTAAGGTGATATCATTATGACTCAATTTTTTTAATTTATTTTTTACAAAATAGAAAGTTATAACTATGCTATTAACGAATATTTTGTTATTGTATGAAAGTGAAATCATAAATAATTGAATTTTATTATATATACATTACATAATTTATGTCTTTATATAGAATTGGAGAGGAAATTATTATTTTCGTTTTTATATTTTTAAAATTTGTCAATATAATCTCTAAATTAAGTAAAATGTCAGTTTAGTTTTTAAATGTATGTAGTTGTCAATTATTTTATAATCTATTGTTTCAAAGATTTATCTAAATAATCTTAAATTAAGTAAATTATCATTTTAATAATTAATATATGTAATTATCAATTATTTTAATTACTAACGCATATAATTCTCAATTAGTTAATCTCTATTGTTACCTAAATATTAATTGACCTGATAGACAGCTGACTTGCCTTCTCTCTAAATATTAAAGTAAAAAAAAATTGGTGCACCAGATATTCTCTTTTTCCTCCTCATACATTCTTTCATGTCTAACCACCAGCCCCACAAAATGTTGTTTATTGACAACACAATTTTCCACTTAAATACTCCCAAAATGCATATATACATTGTTTTTAATAGCTTTAATGCTAAAAATTAAATATGTACAGGACTACTACGAAGATAAGAAGACGTAGCAAGGACTTTACAATTTATATTTCACCAAATTGTGTGAAATTACAAATAAAGATAGTCATCATTAATATTCAAATTAGAATTGAACCTAATTTGGGTGATCTTTTTCTTTCTATGTTCAACTCGCTATCATAGACATCAAACAAAGGTGTGCCTAGAAGGAGAAGAGTGAGGTTTGGTATGTTAATAGAATCATCATACATCTAAAGGTAAAGTAGCTTTACATGGTTGGGTTAATGCACACTGCATATGCTTCTCTGAAATTGATTATGATATTCTTTTAGACAAAGCCACTTATTCAGTTAAGCCAGGGCACATGATTGTCCAGAATTCAAATATGTAGTACCAAAATCACTATCCTTGGAGGAGTGAGTGAGGCTTATAACTTACAACTCAAGATCACCATCTGCACAAACCATAACAAGCCAATCAGTTTTCTAAAATATTAATCTCATTTGACCAACTAAAAATTGACCCTATACATGTCACAATATAAATTTATTTTATTTTTAAAACCATCAATTAAAACCATAAAATTTTAGGAGACTAACAATATGGAAAGCTATCTCAATTATTATCAATTAACAAAAAAAATTTAATTATGAATTGAAGATTTCTAACCTTTGGAAGAAGCACATTCAACCTCATCCAATGGAGTTTCTGATGTAGGAGAGGTTGGTGAGTTGCTAACATATTCCCTAGCATCAATCAACATTGCAATGACCTCTCTCATTGTAGGCCTATTAAGTGGAGATGTGCTGGTGCAGAACAGAGCAATTTTGAGAATAAGAGACATTTCTTCAACTGTTTTTTGTGCACTTAGATTCAACCTTTTGTCAAATAATTCAGATGCTGGTATTGATGCTTGAATTGCTCCTCTCACACATGTCACTAAATCACCACCCTGTTCCAAAGGTTGAACAGGTGACCTCCCAGTAACTAGTTCCAACAAAACTACCCCAAAGCTATAGATGTCACATTTCTCAGACACTTTCATGGTGTAAGCATATTCTGAAAAAATAATCAAGCAACCATAAGAAAAGCAGAAAGATTACAATGACTATAACACAATGATGAAAATATCACTTTTTGTGTTTGTATATTAAGGGTATCTCTCCACTGATTACCAAAGACAATAACCTTTTGAGACAGAGAGATCACCAAAGTATAACTTCTTCTGACAAAGTTTTTTCCATTTTTCATACATACAACTAGGACTCTACTATTTATCAAGTATAGAGGACTTTGTCGATAAAAACATCCCATATTTAGCACACCATTGACATCAACTTTTGATAATTTGAATTAAACATCAGGGGATAGTAACATTTTTATTGAAAAACATCTCTTCACATGCTTTGTCATATCTTTTCCCTCCAAAAGCATTGTCACAATTGATAAGAAATTAAAAATAAAAACTGAAACGTAAATCATCGTAAAATATTAAAATAGGACTGAATTATTTCTAATAAATAGAATAACATTTTCTTAACCAATATGGTGAAGTTATTCTTACCTGGGGCAATGTAGCCATATGAACCTGCCACAGCAGACATTGATTTTGAGTAGGAAAAATCAACCAACTTTGCCAAGCCAAAGTCTCCAACATGAGCCTGAAACACCTCATCAAGCAAAATGTTGTTTGACTTAATATCGCGATGGACAATTTGAGGTTTACAATCATAATGAAGATAGCATAAGCCTTCAGCTGCTCCTAGAGCAATTTTATATCGACTATTCCAATCCAATGCACAAGTGTTTGTACTTGAATGAAGTTGTTCTCCAAGGCTTCCATTTTCCATGTACTCATACAAGAGAAGATTAGAATCCTCATGATAACAAAATCCATAAAGCTTCACAATGTTCCTGTGCCTGATCTTTCCAAGGGTTGAAATCTCAGCAAGGAAGCTTCTGTCAACATTTGCTCCTTCTCCACGTGAATTCAGCTTCTTCACCGCAATCACTTCACCATCATTCATAACCGCCTTGTATACGGTACCACAAGCTCCTCTCCCTATAACTGCAGCTTCTGAAAAATTGCCAGTGGCTTCCAAGAGATCCTGGTATGTGAAGCCTTCTTTAGGAAAGTAATAGTTATCAAGAACATGAGTCTTTGCTTGGCCTTCAATTGAAACAAAAGCAGAAGGGCTACGGCGCCTCATGGCCCTACAAATACACACTATGAAGATAAGAGAAACTAGTCCAACCATACCAGAAACAATGCTTACTATCTTTTCCCTTGGTGAACCATCTCTGATCCAGCTTGTTCTTGCAGCATGAGAGGAAGATAAAGAGTGGCAATGATTAGTACCAACACGGCACAATCCGTTGTTACCAGCAAAGTTTGTGAAATCCATCTTTCTAAATGTGGTGGTGTCTGGAACAGTTCCTACCAGCTTGTTGTTAGATACATTGCATACTAAAAGACTGGGAAGATCACCAATTGATGCAGGAATCTCACCAACAAGTTGGTTATCATTTAGATAAAGGGATTCTAGCATTTGCAAGTTCCCAAGGCTATCAGGGATTGTGCCAGAAAGGTTGTTGTGACTGAGGTTAAGTGCAATCTGAAGGGCTGCAAGTCTTCCCAAATGAAAAGAGATGCTTCCTGAAAACTTGTTGCCACCTAATTCGAGGTCAGTGAGACGAATAAGATCCCCCAAAGTGCCTGGTATTTCACCTGAGAGCATGTTATCAGAAACCTTCAACAGCTCCAAGTTCACCAGGTTGCCAATCTCATTTGGAAGCATGCCAGTGAATTTGTTCCTGCTAAGATCAAGCCTCTGCAGTTTTACACAGTTTCCCAACTCATGAGGAATGCTTCCACTGAAATGATTAGAGGAAACATTGAATGTGACAAGTTTTGTCAAATTTCCAATTTCAGGAGGGAGAAAGCCAGCAAAATTGTTATCTGACAAGAGGAGCCTCTCTAAGCTCCTGAGTTGGCCTATCCCTGGGCTTATTAGCCCAGAGAAATGGTTTTGATAAAGTTCAAGTGCTGTGAGATTGTGAAGTTCATACAATTCAACAGGTAAACTTCCCGTTAATTGGTTGTCCCCTAGCATTAGTTGCACAAGAGATTTGCATGTTTTCAGGCTATAAGGAATGTTTCCGAACAACCTATTCGATCCAAGGCTCAGGAATTGAAGCTTCTGATATTCACAAAGATGGGCAGGAATCATACCAACAAGGTTATTTGCAGATATATCAAGAATAGTAAGGTTTATAATAGCTCCAAGTTGAGGAGGAATCACACCCTCAAGTTGATTGTCAAATAGCTGCAAATCCTCCATGTATGTAAGGTTTTGAAACTCAAGTGGAATTGTACCTGTTAAGTTATTCAGTGAAAGGTCCAAGTTTTTTAGCAGCCTCAACTGACCAAGCTCCTTCGGAATGTGACCCTGAAGGTTGTTTTCAAATAAATGAAGCAAGCTAAGATTAGAGATTTGACCCAACTCTTTGGGAATGATCCCAATCAAACGGTTTTCAGATAGGTCTATCTCAATAGCATTTGTGCAGCTCCCTAGTTCTGGTGGAATTGTTCCATTCAACTGGTTGGTGTACATGTACAATCTCTTCAACTGGGATAGCTTTCCAAGTTCCTTGGGAACAGCACCACTCAATGAGTTTTGATGCAGAGCAAGCAGTTCCAAGCTACTAATGTTTCCAATCTCAGGAGGAATCTCCCCAGATAAAGCATTTTGCCACAGAAGTATAGTCGTAAGGTTCTGAAGCATTTGAAGCTCCCTTGGAATTGACCCTTCTAGCTGATTCTGTGCCAAACCCAATATCTCCATGCTCTCACACTCACTAATTTCAGCAGGTATTGGCCCTGAGAGTGCATTCAGACCTGCCCTTATCACTCTAAGCTGCTTCAACTTTCTGATTGATGTGGGAATTCCTCCAGTTAAATTATTACTATAAATTACTAGCTCTTCAAGTGATGCCAAATTCCCAAGCTCTTCTGGTACTTCACCATCAAAATAATTTTCACACAGGTAAAGCTTTCTAAGTGCAGTGATTTTCCAAATAGGGGTCAGAAGTGGCCCATGAAGCCTATTTGTGCAAAGGTCTAAAATCTCTAAGCCACCACAATCAACAAAACCATCAGAAATGGGGCCAGAGATGAAATTTTTTGACAGATTCAACTCAATTAGCCTTGGAAGATTACATATGGTTGGAGATAAAGTACCGGACAGATTAAGGTGGTTAAGTTTCACAGAAGTTACCATTGAACCTGTGCAATACACACCAGTCCAATTGCAAGGAGTTAAATCAGAAGAATTCCAGTTATATAGATTATTGTTTGGGTCAAGAAGGGATGTTTTGAACCTCAAAAGAGTTGAACTCTCTTCATTAACTGAATTTACAAACACAATGCTAAGGCAAATCAATAGCATCATGTGAAAATAAAACCCAATTAGGGAGTGATGAAAACTGCACTCCAATGCCATCATTTCTCGTAGGCAAACCAAACAAAAAGCATCAAGGGGTGGCTTGGCTTTTTTATAAGGCCACGAAGAACAAAAGTTAAAATGATTTAGAAAACAAAACAGATAACAATAAGGAAACTTTCATAGAAGCAAAACAAACAAGTGTGAACAAAGGACAATTGAGATTTGAGAGAGGTTCAAGACAAAGCACAAGATGACATAGAAAAAGAAGAGAAAATTAAGAATACCGTGTAGTGAAAGGAAGAGAATGCTTGGCTGTGAGAACAACTGAATGAATCAGAAGCCAATTGAGAAATAATTAATAACCCTTTTGGTTATAGAGAAAAATAAATAGACCCACCGAAGCAATCAATACAAAACACGAGAATAAAGGAGAGAGAGAGCATACAACACAATAACACAATACAGTGATAGAGACCTACCCTTTAGGCAGATAACAATTACAGATAGGGAGAGAGAGAGTAAAAGACATAACATTGATTGATGAGGGCATGAAAGTGGAGCTAAGCCGTGAAAGATCACGACTTGAAGATAGTTGAAGTTTTGGGTCAACGCTACGTTGTTGTATGTGTTAAAGCACTTTACAGCTTGCTTAAGTGGCATGAACTAGTTGTAGTTGTTGTTGTGGTTGTTGCTGTGACTGTTCTCAGTGTTTGTGTTCAGTTTTTGTTTCTTCTTTCTTCTATCTTCTTCTGCTTAGTGTTCTGGCAATCCACCACCTTATGGTGTGGACTTGATTCACTGTTACTATGATTTGCGTTTGAAAGATTGAGTTGACATGTTAACTATAAACGGTGTGGATTGAGAGAGACATGACATGTAGATTCCTTAGGATCACTATCTCCGCCATTCTTGCTGGGCCTGCCAATATGGGAAAAATTAATCCAAATAGTGAGAAAATTAAATTAAAATTGTGGGAATTTAATTTTGCTGTGATTCATGTGTTGAGTCATGGGTGTAATGATTTCTCTTATGGACCTCTATGGAGTAAGTGCCTTAGTGCCTAATAACAGTTCAATTTCCTACCTCTCTCTCTCTCTCTCTCTCTTTGCCCACTGCCTCACATACTGATAACTTGGATTAATTGATTTCTTGTATGCATGTGTATTCACATGTTGGTCAACATAATCTTATTTTTGGTACGTTCTTATATACTAATATGAATAAGACGATGATTAAACAACATGAATCAAAAGGTTGTTGAAACGAATTATTATTATTATTATTATTAGTGATCTTATATTAAAATGGTATTATTTCATCTCTGGATTCTACTTTAAGTACTGTACTTGAACTTTAGTTTTCTCCCTTCTTCAAGTTATTTTCAGAAGGGAATTATTAAAAAGTTAATAGCTATATTAGTCTAGAGGAAATGTAACATTACTGTACATTAGTCATATTAATTCTTTTAAAAAATATAAAAATTAGAATAGTTTTAAATCTTCCCACCCTTTATTCCTACAAATCCATAATTACTAAATTTTCCTACCCTTTATTCCTAAAAATATTTTAATTTAATACTTATTTTTAAAGTAGTTATAGAATTATTGGGAGGATATATGAGAACTCTAAAAATTATCATATAAGTCTTTGATATTTCGGAAGTCAAATTAATTCCTGAATTGCAGACATTCAGAAAACAAGTTGAAGGTATCATAGGTTTGGATTTATGTCTGTGCTTATAGAAAGTAATTATAGTTTTAAATGTGTTGGAGGCGTGTCTTTATTGCTTAAAAAAACCAATTTCACTTATGTAAAAACTATCAAAATGCTTTTATTGTTCAACTAAAATAGAAAATCATTAATCCAATATCTAATCTCTCTTAATTTTCTTGTAGAAACCAACCCCAAGACATTTGTATTGCTCAACCAAAATCGAAAATCATAAATCCAATATCTTTTTTTATTATTATTATTAACTTCTCTTCTGTTTTATTGAATATTTAGCATAAGTATATGTACTTTAAAAAAAAAGAATGTTTTCATATATGAAAGAAATTCGAATCCGATTTCTTGCATTATAGTTCAACTAAGTTAATTAATTTAACTAATATCTTCTATGATATAGAAAATTTGGGTTAATAAATGAACGAAAAACTTAAAAATGAATTCATTAATTTACAACATGGGAAAACTTAAAAACTGCACCAGGTAAAAACTGTTCTTTTTCTCTTTTTATGAACTTTTAACTGATGTTTCTTTATCAGATTTCGTAATGTTATCCTTTAAACTAAAAAATAAACCTAATGATTAAAAATAATTATGTAAGCAAAACTCCTCTCATTAAAAAAAAATTTCAAAAGTAGGGAAAATCGAATTCTACTATATTAGGCACATTACAAAATTGTAAGCAACATTCATGTCGCTATCGATACTGGCATTATTGTCTTCACTGTCGTGGTTGATAATTGCATAGTCAAGATGTCATCTTCACTTGTACCAAAAATAGATGTCCCCTCATTGTGCCTACCTCTCATAGAAAGACAGAAAAATGCGAATTCCTCATTGGATGTTTCGCATTGTTTTTCATAAAGTTCTTCTTTTGTCATCTCACAATTGAAAACAATTCATTGTTATTTCCTATATACTCTCGAATCTTTTAGAATAGAGACTAAACCTTTCACATAGGTACCAATAAATTCAAGATTTGAACATTTATTTTGCTCTAGAAGAATGGTTGGCTTATAAGTGTGCCAAACTCCTCATGAGTGGTATACATTAAGGTTTCTACTTGTGATTTATCTGCCATCTATTTGGTCAATTTTATTGATTTTGTTTCAAATATAAATTATTTGCGTAATGTTAGAATGACATTATTGCCCTGTTATTTCATGTATGTGAAAGAAAATATTGACCAAAATTAATGGGTACCCGAACCATGGTAGGTAATTAGGGTCGATTCTTTCAGAAAAATAATAATCATAGTATAGAGAGCAAGTTTTAACTTTTGATTGAACACAAAAATTATAGAAGAGGAATTAAATAACAAATTCAAATATGCAAATACCACCACTACCTTTTTTGTGGGTCAAAAAATACCACTACTGTTAAGTAGTTAAAGTGAGATAAAAAAAAAAGTGCAAATGCCCAAAAGGAATGAGTAATTTTGGGGGACTATGTACTTGAGTGGCCTCTCAATCGTAGTATGGGAATGTGTATCACAATGTATAGTTTTAAATCTGAAGTGCAAATGAGGAAAATTAAGTTCAAGTGCATGCAAATGAATCTTCAAAGGGATTTAGAGTTTATTTCTTTTGGTTTTATTTTTATATAAAAAGTGTATTTATTATTTTAAAAAATACTTTTAAAAGACTTTGTGTTTTTTAAGTTTTGAAAAAAAAAAAAACACATGATTTCTATTTTAAGCATTTATTTTGAGATGTTTTTTTAGTTATAAGTATAAATATATTTTTCAAAATCAAAAGCTTTTATGATTGTAACAAATTAATAGAATTAAAAAATAATTTTTACTATACATAAAGTCTGTAAAAAATAATTACTTTTTGACAACTTCATAATAACTTTTGAAAAGCTTAAACAAATAGACCTTCAATTACATTATCAAATAACTCCTAAAATTTTATGTATCCACATTTATATATAAGGACATTTGTGGTTTGGTTTAAAGCAGTTTATAAATTAAATTAAATTCAAATCGAACTAAACAAAATTAATTTTTGCACGGTTCAGATTATATAAATCAGTTATTTTTGTTATGCCTTTTTTTTTTTTCCTATTCTCTAAGGGACAATATTTATTAAATAAAAAATTAAATATAAACTAAATATTAAAAATTATTCAAATTATTAAATTTTATCATCATTATAAATTAAAATTCAAAATAATCTTAAATTTTATAAAAAAAATAAAATATATATATATATAAGGAAATATCTTCTTACACCAATGTAAGTCTAAAAACTCTTACACCCAACCTAATCCTTTTATTTAATTTAAATCTAATAACTAGTGAAGTAATAAATTATAATCCGCTAGATTTAAGTTAACTGAAAGGTTCACATTGAGTGTAAGAATTTTTAGATTTAAATATATAATAAAATGAACAACGTGACATCTTTTGATTAGGTTTATTTTATTATACAATAAAAATATGTATAAAGTTAAGATATTTAGAATTTGGTTTGATTTAATAAAATTTTAAACATAAAAGTAAAAATAAATAAATCAAACTCTGAATAAAAAAATATATTTTTGAGTTCTCAATTAATGATCTATTTATTTTTTAAATATTTTGAATTAATATAATAATATGGTTTAGATCGAGTCTTAAATACCATTCAAAATTTGGCATGAACAAAAATAACTCTGCAAGAGAATTTGAGAAAGGTCAATTAACTCTTAGTGCCATCACAACTATTAGGCACAAAGAGGAAGGTTCCTTGTCTGTTTAAACTTTTATTTTAAAATATATATATATATATATATATATATATATATGGCATTCTTTTTAAATATTTTCTTAAAAGATATTTTTTTTAATGTTTTGAAAAAATACTAAAGCAAAATTTTATATTTATTTTTTAACAAATTGCATAAATATTATGAATTTTTAAACATATCCTTCAATTAAAAAGCATTTGAAAAAACTTACACCACATTTTTGTTTCATTACTTTCTTTCTATCTTTTAAGACTTTTCCCCATTGCAAAAGATTCCTCAATAAGCGTATTGGTGAATGGTGACATGATATTTTTCTTTTGCAGTGGGTATAGTACGTCTTGGTGTTGTCTTCAATACACCAACCAAGATTGGTGCTTCCATATATCTATTTAGTGCTTTAATCCTAGTTAATTAACTTGCTTTGTTTTTTTAATCTGATAGCAAAATATCTAAATAGTCTAAAAAACGTTACTATAAAAATGATACGTGAGTTTAGTGGTGAAATTGGGAGTGCATGCACCTTCAGTAAAATAATACTAAAGAATATATCACATACCTCGTGGTGATATATGTTTCTGATTACGTATTACTTAAACATGGATAATACACAATTATAGTGCAATAACTATAGAAGTTTTTACTGTTCTTGTAATCATAGATGTGACTCTTAACTATGATCTTATTTTATGAGATGAGTATGTATAAAATACCAAATGTCTATACATAAATGTTTATTAAACTGAAAATTAAGAATTGGCTAAAAAATAAGGAACTAATTAAAAAAATAATTGCCCATCAGTAGCATTCACCTGAACTTGCCACAATATTAAAAATTATAATATAACCCAACATGTAATTGTAATTTAAAACACTGACTATAACAATAGAACATGCCTATGAGATATAATCTCATGAAATATAAGTGTCTTTAATGGGTTAATATTTTAAAATTGTGTATGTGAGGATTCTCTAGTTTAGACATATAGAGTATCCAATCGGAAAGGTTTCGGGCAAATTGAGCCTCAAATGGCGAGGATGAGATATTCATGAGCATGAAATTTACTACAGAGAAGTGCAGAATTTGATCTCACCATTAATAATTAGTAAAATATATTATTTAATAAAAAATTTCATTATGATAATATATTCTTTATAGTTGAGATTTGATGTAATGAAAATGTTACTGCTGAGATCTCTTCCGAAAATATGGACGCACCCTCGCCTGAGTTGCCTCCTCCTTCTCTTTCAGTATGATAATGTAATGATTTTTTATACTTTTATAATTTTTAATAAATTTTAGTTAATAATTACAAATATATTTAAAAAATGTGTTAGAAAAATGTTTTAACACTTACGTAAATAGTATTTTAAGATTTATTTTTTTTATTGCATGCTTTGTAATTTAATTTCTAAAATTTTGCTAAATAGTTATATTCTTATCATAGCGAGAGAGAGGATTAAAATCAAATAAACACTGCTCTGGGTATATATGAGTAAGCAACAAATCTGAAAAAAATTATCCTCAAATTTGTAATTATGGGAATGAAGGTTATCATTTGGTCATTAGTGATGCCAAAACAAAAGCTTCTACATGCTTTGATGTAATCTCCTCCACAATTTGCGTGCACTCAACCACATTGGGACTTGCAATTTCCATTCATATATATCAGATAAGCATGGGGTCCATAACCACAGCCACCAAGGCATTATCAATTATTTAAAAGTTTATATGAAAATTTAAGAGTTTGTGTGCATATATTTCTTCTAATTTATAGGAAATTTTAATTTACCTATCTTTTTTTTTTAATAAATTGAATCTAAATAAAATTAAATTATAGTCATGTGATGGAAAAATTCTACTCTTGAATGTACAATTTAAAGGCCTTGGAGAAAAAACTTCTACAAGCGAAGATTGGCATAGAATTATTCTTTATATGGTAAACAAGCTTCAATGCTTTCTCAATCTGCTTAAGCTTGGCATTAAGAGTGACCCAAAACAGCGTCGTGGTAGTGACACTTAGCTGCATCATCCTTCGTGCATGTAATGCTACCTCTTAGCTTAGGGTTTAGATTTGTAAATTTTGAATATGAGATATATGGTACGTAGAAATTAACTAAAAGTGCTGTCCTAATATATTTATATAAAGATTTCATAAAACCTTAACTACATTAAAAACTTGATAAAACCTAAATTTTTCTAGATGATGAAATTCTTAATTAAACCTTAACTATATTAAAAACTACAGATTATGAAGTACTGTTGCATTCAGTATTAGATATCAGTCCAAGCTTAATTCTTTACCAAGTACATTATTTAATTAATTACATATACTCGGTTTCAACAACATTAAGTAATTGCTTGTGAAATAACGAAGGCAAAGATGAAATGAATCGGTTTGATGTATCACTGTGATTCATATACAACAGTAAACGTGTGTGATGAAAAACTACACTGCACACCCAAAATTGGAAGGTATATGTATGATGATGACACTAACCTATATCTCTTCGAATGAGTATAAAAGTGGATTAAAGACAATGGGAAATTCAGCTAACGATATATGGTATTATTATTATGAACATAGTGATAATAATAATTATTATTACTGTAGTTGGAAAATAAATGATATTTGGGTCCTTTGGTCCTGACAGCGTGGGCAAGTGTCTTCCACCAGGACCTCCTTCTCTTGTGAGTCACGTGACTCACGTGCGACCTGTTCCTCCTCAACAAACCCTTCACCTCGGGTGGCCTATAGGTTCTTATCAATGGCCACTTGATCCCATCGAAAAAGGGGTGGCGTTTAACATCAGTGGCACCCCTGGCGCACCCTAGCCTCCTCCGAGGGTCCTTCACCAACAACTTCTCAATCAAATCCATAGCCTCTTCCATCCCTGCCTCATCTCTCTCTGCCACGTGGAACCTCACATCCTTGCTCGACGCTATATTGCGCAGGGTGCTCTCCTTGCTACACCCCTTGAACGGCGTCGTCCCGTACAACAACTCGTAAATAAACACCCCGAAAGCCCACCAATCAACGCCGTTACCGTGACCGTTACCAGAAACAAGCTCCGGCGCCAAGTACTCGTGCGTCCCTACGCACGATCGTGAAAACGCCGTCGTTGGTTCCGCAACAAACTCTGCAACAAACCTCGATCGCGATTTGTTATAACTGAAACAACCGTTTTTGGGTCTCACGTGAGGCGTGTGGGCCCTGAAGTTACAACTCGGTGCCACCTCAGCTGTGAAGCATAAATCGAAATCGGAGAGCATGACGTGGCCGTCCTCGCGTAACAGAACGTTCTCGGGTTTCAAGTCGCGGTACACGACGCCGAGAGCGTGGAGGTACTCCAGCGCCACGAGTACTTCGGCGGCGAAGAAACGCGCAGCCGAGAGGGGGAGGCGGTTGCCGGGCTGTTTCCGGAGGAGGGAGTGGAGGTCGCCGCCGGGGCAGTAGTCGATGAGGAGGCACGTGTAGTGAGAGACGTCGATGCGCGCGTAGAGCGTGGGGAGGAAGGGGTGGTCGAGGGCGTGGAGGATCTGCGCCTCGGTTTCCGCGTGGGAGAGTTTCTTGGCGGTTAGAAGGTCCTTGTCGACGACCTTGAGGGCGAAGTTTGCGCCGTCGTAGTCGCGGAGGCGGCAGAGGAAGACGCGGCCAAGGTTGCCGGAGCCGATGTGGCGGAGGAGCTTCAGGTGGCGAAGATGGAGGCGGCCGTCGGAGGAGAGCGTGGTGGCGGCCTGGATGGCGGACCAGTGAGGGTCGGAGCTTCGGTGAGGACGGCGGCGGATGGAGTCAGCAGTTGCGGCGGCGGAGGCTGAAGCGGTGGAGAGGCGGTCGTTGAAGCTTAGGGTTAGGCTGCTGGTTCGAGCTAAGCTGGTTCGGGCGCTGGTTCGGTCGGTGGTGGTGCTTGTGAAACTGAGATCGAGGTCTGTATCTGGGAAGAACAATGTGGGTTCGTCCATGGTTTTGGTCATGAACTTGTTCAGGTGTTGTTTCTGAGACATTAACGTTGGTGTTTAGTTTTTGTATTTAAAAGGATGGGTACACAGAAGGTGGGTCCGAAGGTTCAAGAAGTTGACCCAACTGGAGCATTTGAGGACATGGACTTGGACACTCCACAGATGCTGAGGTTAGGTTGACCAACTGGACTTCTCATATTCTATTCTTTTATCGTTTTTGCTATTATTATATGATCATCTAGTTCTCATTACTATATTCTTTATTGGTGGGAGAGGAATTTTATGGAGTGGTAATTTATAGGGGTACAAATTAACGGCTTGAATGATGCATTATATTGCTTCATTTGTTTGCTTCTACTTTTTTCTATCGTTATTGTTGTTCAGTCGGTGACAGTGTTGTGAGTTCAGGAATTGTGGATGTTCTGCATGGTTTTTATTGTTAATTACTAGTGCTAGCTAGCTGGCAAACCAAGACTCTGTTACCATAAAACAGGGACGCTGTTGTATAGTTGCATAGGACCTGCTTGCAGTTCTACTAAATTATATGCAGTAGTATATAATTAATTACTATAGTGGATAAGGAGTTGGTATCTATCATGTTCGAGCATTTAGGAATGGACTCTGTTGGGATATTTTACTTCCATTAGAACATGATGTGTATTGATAGAGCCATTCTCTTGTTTGTGGACTTCTTACATCTTATTGTGTATTCATAATTATGAACGTAGTATTGGGAGATTACAAAGATAATCCATTAAGCTCAAATTATATAATGATACCTTTTGTGTGTGACTTAATTAACACATTTGCTCGTCATTTGAAATATTATACCCGTCAATTGTAGAACAGTGCGTTCACGATGAAAATCACTATGTTGATAATTAGATATTGTTTAGTCTGTGACTGAGGTTAAGGTAGAAAATGAAGGAGGAATTGGGTGGCGATATGATGGTCCCATGTGACATGGTGGGACAATATATAAGCGTTTAAGGTCTGAAAGGGTTGGGACCTACGTGGGAGGAAAGGGGTTAGTGATGCTGTCTGCCACGTGGTCAACATTGGTCCTACAATGTCGCCTACACTATTCATTATTCCAGTATTCCCCATTTTCTTAATAATATTAGTATTACTTAGAGAAAGCTATAATTCAAAGTTCATTAATTAATAATGGGTTTCAACTCCTTAGGTAGCAATAGTATTTAGTGCTGCAGCTCACAATAATAATGGAGGCTACATCAAAATTATGAACCTCCATCCCTCGTGATAAGAGAGATCCAACTGCTCTTCTTTATTGGGGAAATGTTAAATTTAAGAAAGTCTTAATATTCAATTCATCACAATAATGAAGGGGGCATGGGTGATGTTCCCTTCCTCTTCCTCACTACCACACTTTAGTCAACTCCAATTTTTTTAGGGAATCTGATCATCACCTCCAAAATTGACGAAAATTTTAATTATTTATATGATTTATGTACACAATTGATGATATTGTTGTAGCTGAATTTTTTGCCAAAAAATGTTGAAAAGTAACCCCCCCCCCCCAAGTAAATAAAATTATGCATACCCGTCACATTTAGCATTGCATTCTATTGGATGCTAAAATAAAATATCTTGAAAAGTAAGTTCTTAACTCCGATCCCTTATATAAGTTTCTATGATTTATTTCTTTTAACACAAATAATATATATATTGGTTTCATTTCTACACAATTACTTTATTGGCATGCAGAAAAAAAAAAAAGAATTATCATGTTTAAAGTATTCTATCACATTTTCAACTAACAATACTTGATTATAATGAATAATCTCCTTAATATGGATATCTGAATAGTTCTGAAACAGAGTATCAAGAAATGTATATGATCTTGATTGGGTTATCAAAACTTTGGTAAACACTACATTCATGGATTGTTAAATTACTTGAGTGTACTTTATATTCTTCCAAATAAAATGAATTAGCGCTTGGTTGGTACGGTTTTCAGTTGGAAGCGGTGAAAATTAATTTTACAAAAACTGAAAAATAATTGAAGCTACTTAATTGCTAAACAAGTATCCACTGTGAATTTTAATTTTCAAAATTCTGTTACACTAATTAAACTAATGGAAAAACAAACAGAATTTAATGTCTAGCTAGTTAGAGAAACCCCACTAAGTGTGTTGTCTTTGAATTTAGTAATATTGTATTTTGAAGCTAAATTGTTGCCCATTCTTTAACGCAATGTTTTAATATAACATCGGATTCTTCGTTTGGAAAAAGTCTTCCAGATACTCAGAATAATATCTCTTCTGAATCATATCATGCTCAATATGTGTATAAACATATAACATTACATACAAATTAAATGTGTTTAACCATGCATGCGCTCATGGTTTGCCCATACATATAGTTTATTTATGGAAGATGCCTATTAATGGCTCAACTTGCTGCCCAAGTATTAAGCGGTATCCAAGGAAACGTTTAGTGGTTAAGAATAATGATAATAATAATAAGGATCATTTCGCAATTGATAATGAATATTCCTGAGCCCTCTGCAACTCCAAATCTTACGAATATGCGCACGTGGCAATTCACCACTCCCAGGAAGACCCTAAGACGTATTGGCTTCATCTAAATGGACATTGCACAATATGCGTCCGCATGACTCACATGAGAGCTTGGCTAATGTCTTTTGACCTCTTAAAAGTAACATGGCCCATTACACAATGAATAAAATTTGATCAATAGAAGCAAGTTAGGTGATATACGTACTTGGCTACAATATAAATCTTCACTAAGGAGGTTTAGAGACATTAGAGAAACATCTTTAACTCTGCTTAAGCATATGAGCAATGATATACACATTCATAGAAAAACCTCACCGACTCTAGTTACTCTTGTTTTGTTTTAATCAACAACATTTCAGACACATAAACACATGTCTTACTCGGTATGCGTACTTCATGAAACAAACGTCGTGTTGCATGTTGCTTTTTGATGGATGGGATATAGACGATGCATATATATACTTCGTCTTTGATAGAGAAAATAGGTCCCATGCATTATGTGTGTGTGTGTGTCTATATATATATATATATATATATCAAGCTATATACGAATCATCTTTTGGGATATGTATTCCCTAACCTAGTGACATACATACTGATCATATTTGATTCCGATTCATCAAAATGAACTAAATTTGAAGGTGGGAAAGGTATTAAATTACTAACTATGGTTTGAATATTATCTTGTTATGAAGTTGAACTTAATTTTATACAATTTCGTGAGATTTCTTAGTTAATGTTTGTTAAAACTGAATGTCGGAAAAAAGTGAAATAGTACATGCATCGCCACAGCAGCTACACTAGAACCTTAAGAAAAGAGTAAACAAATAAACTAACTTGTAAAGTAATATCACAAATTTTACATTAGGTGTATATGGTCAAGGAGAAGTAGAATCTAAGACAGACATGCTCCCCCGACCTTTCAAGCGTTATAAGGATTGATACATTGCATTTGGCTATTCTCCTAATGCACCAATTATATTTGTTAGTTTCATGATTCTAAACAGAACAATAACACCTGACCTTTCTTCTATTTTTTTAATCTTTCCAATTTCGTCTTCTCTCTACAGAGTCACATGCATCAACTTCCATTGTCTAATATCATATGCACCTTTTAATTTGAAACTCTCAATGATTAACTTAGATCCCTTTATATTATTTAATTTAACAGTGTTTAAACAATGTCGTTGATAGAGAGAGAAATTAGAGGGCTCAATCATGGCCCTCAACTAATTAAAGGATACCCATCTGAAACTCATTAACAATTTAGAATTGGTGGGATGATCATAAATTTGTTTCCATTACACAGTTGGCTAAAGGCTCATCCTGTTTGGTGAACCCAGTTGGTGTTATTATACAGAGGCAAAGAAATTATATGAGCAGAGAGAAGATGCTCAAAGTTGCCAAAGTTAAATAACTTCAATGATTCCATTGATCTTGAAAGTGCAAGTTGCTTAATTGTAGTTATTTCAGTTAAGAACCACCTGTCTTGAATGCAGACAATACCGCAAATGAATTATAAAATAAAATTATGGGCATCACTGTATTCAGGTAAATGATTTTATTTATTATTATGTATGTGAAAAATATGTTATGATAAGGGAAGTTGCTTATATGAGAACTTTATAAATATACATGTATATTATTCAAGTTGCTTGTTATCTATTTATGTCTGCATTATAAATAATAATATTGTATCCGCTGAGAATTAAATTACCGATCCCAACAAAATAACCATGAATTTTAAAAAACAAAAATTTCAGTATAACTTGTCATTGACTCCTCCTCTCCTTCATCTCAAAATGCATTTTGAATAAGTTGTAGGGTTTATTTAAGTTACTCTGTAAATAAATAATATCATCTTAAGTGGAGTAATAAAATTAAAATATTATGTTAAAAATTGTATTAAATTTGATTTTTTATAAATAAAATATATTAGTTCATTTATTCCATGAAATATAATTTAGTCAGATCCGAAATTATATTATTTATCCAATTTGTTATCACATCTCTCATTTTAAATATCTCATACTTTTCTTTTTTCTTTCTTAACTCTATCTTTGTTATAGAAATAATTATACAAATTTATTGAAAAATATATATAATTTCTCTTTTTGAATAGGAATATTCTGATACTGAGGTTGGCAATGGCATGCATCCGTCGTAAGCCTTATGTTGATAGATAGTGCTTTGATATTCTTATAGAGAGTTTCAAGCTGGGACGTCATTGTAGGGTTCTCATGGTTTAGGTTGGGTAGGCTTTAAGATATCTTTGAACCAAACCTACTCATGAAAGCAATGTATTAGGTTGGACAAATTTCTTCATCAATCTATCTCAGTTAATCCCACCCACCAAAAGTTTTTTGTGTACTCGAAATGGAATCCGTTGGATTAAAAATAAAATATATTAAATTTAATATAAAGGGCTACAAAACTGTCCAAACTCTAAAATAATACTTTGGGAGTATATTACAAATTCTCTCCAAACACACATGTGCATGTTGATTAGGTTAAATTTGCACGTTCAACACATAAAATAAAATTAAATCGATTCTGTTAGTTATAACTCTAAAAATATTGGTTAAATTATATTAAACACTTCTAAATATTTTATATTTTTTATACATTAAATACTTTTTTAATAAAAACGTTTCACCTTTACATCACCAATTAATGGCTTTAGGATGGTTAGTGAAAATGAAATTAAATTAATTGACTTGGTTAGAATTTGCTTGCGAAAGAGATTGTGACCAGATATTATTGGACCAAAATCCTTACACAAGTGGATTTCAACTAATTCATCCAATTTAGATTATCTTCATCCTTCACACTCTGCATTCTATTCTCTCCCCTTCTCAATTAATGCGTAATAATCACATTAATGCGTAAGATTGTAGCTGATATTGTTGGACCAAAATCCTTGCAAGAGAGGATCTGAATTGATTATTCTTCCAATTGATTCCTCTCCATCACCTTCTTTTTACAGACAAAATTCTCACTATGCATTCGATTCTTTCTCCTTAATTAATAATTAATGTAAAGTAATAACCATATCAATAGAAGGTAGTGCTAGACCAACATCCTTGCAAGAGATAATCCAAATTGCTAATTCCTCTCATATGGAGTAACACTTGTTTATAATATGCCTTAAGCACCACGTTACTAACTTAGTATTCACACTAACTTTATTTAATTAAATGTTTAACCTTTGCCATCAACATAATAATTAACATGCACATTGATTATCACTATAAAATTGCTAAAATATAACTGATATTATAAAGTCATCAAAATAGGTAACTATATATGTTTAACTAAGGGAGATTTACTACAATAATATATTTTAAAAAATTATTAAAATAATATCATTTTTAAGCATTATCAAAGTTTACTATTAGAGACATTTGTGACGGTTTAAACCTTTTAGAAAATTTAATTTTTTCTGCAGTTCCTAACCGTTAGAAAATAAACCACCATAAATTTTATAGTTGCAGTTTTAATTAAAAAAAATTTAGACCACCAAAATAATATAAATTGCCACAATTTTTTGGTTGCCAAAAACAAATCCATTATTGTAATATGTTTTAAAATAGTATTATTTTAATACCCATTTTTAAAAGTGTATTATTTTGATAAGAAAATAAAATAAAATTTAGTCTATCATACTTTCTCAAACAAACTTCAGTTATGAAGAGTATTTGTCTTTTAAAAATGAAACAAACATGCTCTAACTCTATTTCTTTTTCCAAAAGGATAGTAATTAATAATTAATCTAACAATCTATTATGGAGTTGTGCTATATGTTACGAAAACAGCTATGCTAGTGCACCAATGATGAGGCATCATGGTTCAGGCATGAATAAAAGGATTATGAAACCCATGTTAAAAATTATACACATCACTCAAATGCAAAATATACAAGAGATTTGCTCCATGTCCCATTTCATACTTCAACAAATGAGTTGCTTACTATTATAGCATTTCCCATATGAAAAACATATCATTTTTCATATTCCTTAATAGGGGTTGACACACGAGAAATCAATTTCATCTATCCTCACATCACAAAAAATAAAATAAAATAAAATAAAATAATCTAGATCAACACAGCTTTCAGATCCAGCCCCTTTCCTTTTCCTTTTGACTATTCTTTTGTTGGATATCTTTAGCTCCACCTCTTCTACCACTTCCTACAACCCTTTGTGCCAATTTCCCTCTACTTCCAATGGAAACTCTAACTTTCTCCATTCCTACATTTACACCAACCTTTCTCATATGTTGCTGAAGTGGAGACTTTACCTGTACTTTCTTATGCAGGCTTCTTCTTAGTAAACTACCTAACTTCTTAGCACCACTTCTTACTTCTTTGGGACTCTCACAATGAGTCTGTGCAGGCACACAGTTTGTTTCTGATTCATCATTGATATCTTTCTGATCAGCTTGGTTTGTTAACTTGGGTAATAATGGTGATTGGAACTGTGTTAAGCTAGGTATACTTGGTAGTGGAATCAGAGAGTTTCTCCTTGATGCAGCGGCTGAAAGAACACGTGGTGTCATCGTGCAAATAGAAGCTCTTCCAGTCCTTTTTGGCAGTAATGCTTTGTCAGCCATGTCAGGATTGTTTTCTTTCTCAGTGTAATCAATGCACTTGATGGAGCTTTCCATTGTGGCAAAGGGTATATAAGGTTTCAAGATGTTGTTCTCTGTGAGTGGTCTAGCTGAATTTATTTGTTGGTCTTTGCACCATCCACCACTCACTGGATCATTAATATTCTTGAGACATCCAAGTGGTCTATTTGCAAGTGCTGGTCGCATAAGTGCATTATTTTGCTCTTCTTGATGTTTCATTTGGTGTTGCTCGGCTATCTTTGAGTCTACATGTTGACGTGCTAGCTTTCTCTCGATCAGAAGTTGTGATTCCAGTTCCTTGACCTTCATAGTGAACACACAGAATGCTGAGATTTTACAAGCAAAGACTATTGACAATTTATAAAGTAAAAAAATAAAAAATCGTGTTATAATATGATACCTTGTCTTGCAGGTTTTTGTTCTTATTATCTCTTTCCTTCATCTTGGACTCTAATCCATGGATTGTTTCCTCCATCTTCTTGATTTGAAAATCCTTCAGTTTTACCTCTTGTTTGGTTTTCTCAGCCTAACAAAGAAGGGTAAACTTGTTGAAAATCAAAGACTAGTTGTTGACATTTAAGCAACGAATTGTTGATGCTTGATAAATATAACAACATTACAATAATTACCAGTTGTTTGTGTCTCAGAAGTTCAATAGTGTCCAACTGCTTTTTAGCAGGGCCCAGTTCTATTCCCCTTACTCTACTAGCAAAGTTCAAAGAGCAAATTGTCTCACTCAAATCGTTTTCATTAGGACTGATCTGTACAAACATGAGTGCCTTTGAATCTCCTCCTATAAAAACAAGATTATACATCAAATTTCATAACTACTTTTGCACACGTACAGAGATAAAACTCAAGCATGCATGCAAGAGAAGCACGTTTCTTTAAGGAACAAGAAGTAAATACCTAATGAATCTTGCAGCAAGTGTGTGAGCTTGGAGTTCCTGCACCACAAAGAACAATAAAAACTTCAATACTGACCAATAGACCAAAAATTGGTGATCCATTTCAGCAATTGTGATTGAAAAACAAAGCCTTATATTTGAATTTCCAAAACCTGAAAGGGATATGTGAACTTTTTGTTGCAAGAGCTGATATGACATCCCCAAGTGCAGACAGAGACCTATTGATATTTTGCGTCTCCTTCAGTCTATCACCATGCACTTCTGTCTTGGCGACTCGCTCGCTGCCTGCTAGGTCCACCAGCCATAACTTGCTTCTGGTGTACTCACCATTCATCAAATTCTCCCCCTTAACCATAACACAGTGAATGCTGTATAGAAAAAGAATACCCCATCATAAGCAGTGTTTCTCCAACCATCCTATTCAAATATAGTTTAGGGTTCCAATTTAAAAAAGTTGAAGCTGACCAGTGGGATCTGCTACTATGCTCATTGGAATTGGTTGAGCTTACAGCCCTTGCATTGCTCCCAGTTTGTAGGACTTCCCAGACTTCAGTCATGTTGTTCACATGTGCCTCAACCAGCCCTGGAATGTGATGCATTCCTTCACCAGCTTGCCTAATTTCCAGTCTACAATTTACAACATTTCAGTGAACTTAAATATTCTGAAAATGTTATAGAATCCTAATTTCCAGTCTACAATTTACCACATTTCAGTGAACTTAAATATTCTGAAAATGTTGTAGAATAAGCTTTAAGTATAGTTTCACTATAAGTTCCTTGTCTAATTTTGCTTGGAAAAGTGCCGTTAGGTTGAAAATAGCAAATAGCCAACTGGTTTGTAGTCTACCTTTTTGCAGCTGTTCCTGGATGATTTCCTGGAACCAGCAAATCTCTTATTTGCTCATTGTACACTTCTAAGACACTTACAGAGATATCATAACGATACAGCTCCTGTCTCTCCTTGATTATGTCAAACATTTTTTCAAGAGTCCTGAAATTAACCCCACGAGCCTCTTCCGTGCCCTCCATCGTGAAAGTTTTTCCTGTCCCAGTCTGTCCATATGCAAAAATGCATACATTGTACCCATCTAGAACTGAGGTTGCAAATGGTGCTGTGTCTTCAAAAATTTCAGCTACAAAGAAAACAGTAAAAATCTGTCAAGGTGAAACCATGGGATTAATGCATAGTAAAAATCAGCAAAAATACCATCCTAAAGAAGAATCCATGGCCTTAATGCATAGTTTACCTTGTTCAGCTTGGGGAGCAAAGATAGCATCAAACTTAAAAGTCTTTTTAGGAGCTCCATTTGACATTACAGTAAGCTCACCATCTTTAGCAGATTCAAAATCTAAGGCCACCGTTGCTCCTACTGCTATCTCTTCGGCATTGAGAGGCCTACACCGGCAAAAGACCCTTATGTTTCCTGTGAAGAAGAATAGTTAGTGAACCATCTTGCGTTTTATTTATATCACATCCAAGTCTAAGAAAACAAGATCAACTGCACAGCTTACCTCTCAACTCCAAAACCTTATTGTAAAGCTCTTTCCGTTCCTTAGCTCCTTCAATATATTTGGACTTGAGATCTTCATGTGACTCCAGTTGTTCATTTACTAGTATAAATGGAGGAATCAGATTATGTACAAATGCAGAACGGTAAAGTAGTGTTTGAAAGCTATATTATAACGATGTCTACTTACTTTTCGACTTGATAATAAAACCCATTTCTCTCACATCCGCTTGATATTTCTGGTATGCCTGTGCTTCCTCCAATAGGTTGATGTGTTCCATTTTCATAATCTATCAAGTAATCGATTCAACACATTTTAAATATATCTTTTAAACTGTTTGTCACTCAATTTTGTTAGCATATCAGTACCTTCACTTTCCTTGTCAAGTCTCTCAGTGATGAAAACCACTTACTTTTCTCTTTCACTTGCCCCTCAATAGCAAATGCTACAAATATCACTTGATTAGATAAACAAAACCTTAAATGATTGGCTATATAATAACTTGAAAAAGTTATATGCATACCCAAAGAGCCGACATGCATGGACTTGCGCATTAGCTCATTCTGAAGCTCTTTTAAGGAGTTCCAAGCTTCCTGGCAGTCTCTACTCTTCTGTTGATTCTCCCTCTTGATCTCCCCCAACTCCCTCCTTGTTTCTGCCAGGTCTTTACTCTTACACTCAAAATCTCTTTTCAGCCTCTTAAACTTCTCCACCCCAACATCCTCATCATCCTACAAAAGTATCATTGAAAATAAGAACACATATTATATTATTTCTCGTATTTTTCCTGCTTAAAATAAGAAATCTATCACGGTTCATATAGAGGCATACTTCTGAGGACTCCAATTCTGCCTCCTGAGACACTCCAATATCATCTTGCATTTCATTATCTCCTGAATTTAAAGCAAAATTTCGCTGATAAATAACAGGTTGAACTATAACCAGCAACATCGCATCATGTGATTCTATTTCCAAATTTCAAAACCTTTATTCACAAGTAGAGATAAGAAGAATTGAACTCACTTGGAGGGTAATCTAGGGGAGACTCACCCCTGGTTACAAGGGGTGGAAAAAGCTCAAAGGAGGCTTCAGGAGATAATAGCTCTTCTTTTTGTTCAAAAGTTTGAAAAAAATCAGAGAATTTAACAGTTGGGATCTTATGGCCATTGTCAACTTCAACTTGAGAACCATTGATTCCATTCTCTAGAGAAAGCTCCATAGATGATTCCAAATTCTTGCAATACTTGTTCTTCAAAACCTCAGGAGAATCACTATAACTGATTCCAGCAATATCTGGTGAGCCAGCACAAATGACCAAATCTGGGGATGTAAGAGAATACCCCAAAATTGATCTTCCTGAAACAACTCATCCCATAATATTCTATCAGATCCTAAGAGACACTCAAACACCAAAAAATTAAAAAAAAAAATTAAATATTAAATTGTGTTAGCGAACCCAAATTCCATTACCATCAAAAATATTTTTCACAACTGGGTCATCGAATTGCACGCTTTTCCCTTCAAAGCTCCCATTTTCCCGAGAAAACCCTACATCAACAACTCACAACCCTTGTGACAACTCATCAAAACAACAAAATGGAGTTCATCCAAGACAATAAAAGATTCAATTTTTGCACAAAAAAAAATCATTTTCTTTTTCATGAATTGTCCTAACCATAACTGGGGCTTCCACCACGAGATTGAGGCTCATCCGCCATAGCCGAACTCCGAAAGCTCAGTGATGTTCGTGAAAGAGCTGTCACGTCAAAAGAAAAAAAAATGATAAACAAACCTAAAGGGTACACGAGAAGATCATCAAGTTCAGAACTTGGAAGTTGGAATCATTTCGTTCTTTTTCTTTTCTGTTTTGAAAGAGAAAGAAAATGAAGGAAAAGGGTTGAAGGGTTCTTACAATTGGTGGAGCAGTGAGTATTAAAAGAGTTTTGTTGTTGCAAAGAAACGTCTGTGAGAAGAAGTGGGTCATGGTCATAGAGACACCATTGATTATCCTCCATTGATAAAATACCCAATCTGTTTCAACTTTGAATTCAGCAAGAAGGATTATTATAAAAAAAATTTAAAAAAATCGAAGCATAAATTAAAAAACAAAAAAGGGGTTATGCTTTAGATAATAATGTTGCTGGTGATGATGATGACGGAGATGGTGATGGTGATGGTGATGGTGATGAAAAATAAAGTAGAAGAAGGTTTCTATGAAATGGATTTGATTTCGTTGCAATGAAAGTGTGAAGATTGAAGTTGCCTTAATGAAAATTTGACCGTTGGGTTTGAAATTTGAAATGTAGTAAGCGGGGAAATATTCACGAATCACGTTACAACAACATGGTTTGTGGCTTCTTGGTGGAGTCTCTGACTTTCTGCTTTGGATTCTGACTTTTTTTTAACCCTTTTGGATTGTGACTTAGGATAAGTTACTGAACCACAGGACACGTCACGCACGTCACGCACCTTTTTTATTCTTACTTTTTTGGGTTTAAATACGAGAGACAATCAATTTTATAGGCTGGTGAAAAAAAAACAATATGATGAGATTTGCTAATTATAAGAAATTAGAATAATATTATTCATACAACAATTTTTCAGTAAATTACATATATATACTTTTATCTCTTTTTATTGCATCACTTATTTTATTTTAGATTTTTCTTTTCCAATCTTTTTTATTGTTTGAAAATTATAAAATTTATTGTACAAATAATATTTTTCAAAAATAATGTCAAGAATTAGGAAGATAATAAAAAATAGGGTGAAAATTAATAATTATATTTCTTAACTAGGGAAATTGAGGAAACATAGAAAGCTTAGTAATTAGAGAATATTTTATATAATTCTATGCAAACAATATATAGAAATAAAATATGGTAGTGAATTATTAAGCTGATTTTATGAATTTTTTTTTTCGAAATTCAATTTAAAAATATTATATTAGAAACTTTACTCAACTTTAATTTGTTTCCATTAGCATTCGATGTTTTTCCTCATTTTATTTGCTCTTTTGCTTTAAAAGGGAAAAAATCATTTCATAAAAAAAAATATCTTATTTTGTTCTATTTTTCATGTTTCATTATCTTAATTTAATATTTTCTTTTCAAATTAATTTTTACCAAAAGAAGATATCAAAATTAATCTATTGTTTTGTAAAAAAGAAATGTTTCTTCCCTGGCTCAAAATTTGAATTTAAGATTGGACTAGCCTAGTAGGAAAAATGATAATTTATAAGAAGTCATTGCCTCAAACTTTGTTACCCTCATTATCTTTCAAAGAACAAAATACACTCGAATCAAATATATTAATAATTGCATTTCATGTTACTCATTACTGTAGAAAACTAACAACACACTTTTTAATATATATTTGTAATTACTTTACTTCTTTAAAAAATTAAAGCAATTTCTATTCAATAATCAATTTACAAAATAAGTATATTAAATTTTAATCCCAACCTTCAAAACTAGATTTAAACAACTAATAATAATTTTTTATTAAAAAAATATTTATTACACTTTTGCATCTCTAATGTAATAAATATATTTTGTTTCAAGGCTAAAGTTAACAGAACCGTTTAAGAAACAAATAAATTAAATAGAATGTAATGAAGAATGTGGTCAAAAAACATTCTTAGCATTTCTCTCTTGATAATTTCATTTAATCCAATCATTGAGACAGCAAATATTATTTTACCAAAGTATTTACATCGGTCTATAACCATGGATCATAACTATATTTTGTGTAGGAGCAAAGCACAGTAAACATACAATTTTCTGGGCCTCAGAGTAAGATGATGCATCCCTTTTTTCTCCTTTTATCAAAAATAAGATGATGCGTCCATTATAGAGCATCATACAAAAAATGAAGGAAAAAAATGCAATTCTTTCCTTGTCTTATAGGTGGTTGTTACAAGTATTTCTGGGTCAAGGCCAATATTGAAACTTTTTACCTCTTTACAAGGAGCTGAAACTGATATACGTTTGCTATATACACTTTTACATCAAACAATGGAACAAATCATTTTGAACTCAGATCTTCAGCAGTGGCACCCTCAATATCAATATAATGATGTGGAATTGTTACCACTCTCCAATGACATTGGAGAGAAGTACAATGTTTTTTCAACTGGAACCTGGATTGCATTTGGTCGCTCAAACACAAGATAGGAACCAATCTCAGTGGCACACATCATTGTTCATTCCATAATTAAACTCCCACTCCCTCCACAGCAGCTGCCATTGATGCTGAGGCCTCTTCAAGGGTCCTCTTCTTCTGAACTGTGTTGAAGGCTTCAAGAATATCACCCTCTTCCCAATCATCAAAGTCTTCTAATCCAACTCCACACTCAAGACCAGCATTTACCTGTTCACAAGGGAGAGAAAGAAATGTGTATTGAGGGAGTAGCTATAATGACCGGGAGATGTAACGCGCAGCCATTCAACGTGGAAAAAACAACCATTATTTAAAAAGCAATACACTGGCAAGCAGTTGTTCAATTATGAGAAAAAAAAAAAAAAAAGAGGAGCAAGAAAAGGCTATTACAAGTTCAAAATTGCATACATCTAAACAAGAAGCTTTCCCTCAAAGCCATGTCATGTGATAGAAAACAAGCTGAGGAACAAGATCAAAGCTACATATCAAGAGTTTAAATCTGATTCACTACCCGTAACACAATACAATATATATGAGAAAGTGCCACATTGTTTGACTAATTAAGGCATCTCACTTGCAATAAAAACCATTTATACTCCTTCAACCATCATATAGTTCATTGACAATGTAAAACTTAACAACGGATTAAAATTGAATCCATTTAATTAATTCCAAAATTAAAAGGTTTTAAAACAATTTTGATTTTGGATAGAGCTAAATGGAATTAGATCCATGTAGCCAACGCACCTAATGGGACTTTTTTGTTTTAAATCCTCACATTTTATCCATCTGAGGAGCAACCAGTTGACATTCACACCAAAGAACAACAATACTAGGTCAATGAAAGATTCAACAACCAAAGCAACACGTAGGACAAATTGGACCACAAATTTGGGTAAATCATAAATTTCTCCATCTTAATCACATAATGTAGAAGCTGCTCATAAACTAATGTTACATGATGGGAATCTATGTTAAGTATTAATGCATGCAGAGTACAAGGTGCTCATAAACTAATTGATTCTTATTCTGCAACATGATTGCAAATCCACAACAATCACAATCAAAAAAGCCCATAGCTACATAGATATACTGATTGAAAAGACCCAGTCCGAGTCGCAAGTTTGAGCATCCAACAATATCATCCAAAGCGTCATTAATGACCAAACTATACTTTTATAGTAACAGAAAAAAAGGTTAAAAGTGCTACTCAATTTTGGTGGATTTACAATTAACTGCCAAAATTGAATTAATTAGAGAAGATGTAGAGAATAAAGTAGCAAGTACAACATTCTTATGACTGAAAGTCCCTCACTATTATCATTCTCCATCATATCATAGCATTATCTCTGAAAAATGTATATTTCTCAATAAAAAAACACAGCTTGTGCTCATTCATAATATCCAAATACAAAATGAAAATGGACTGACAATATTGGCTTCACAATTGGTAGGTAAAATTTTATAAATTAAGGAACAATTATCCAATCATATTCATTCTTGTACCATGCAACTTTTGCAGTGATATTATTGTTTATGAATTCCGGAAATGGGAAATAATACTGAAAGCAGAGCATACCTCTTTAACAATCTCCTTCACCCGTCTCAAAGAATCAACAATACCAACATGAACTACTTTTCCCTTCCGAAGGACTCGAATACCGCAGCCTTTTAGTACCTTTCCCTCTGTAACCATGCATCCAGCTACACGACCACTACCACTGCTGAATGTGGCCCGTACTTCTGCTGAGCCAATTGTTACTTGTTCCTACAAAAAGATAACAGCAAGTAATGCAGCTAAACCTTCAGTAACTTATAAGTTTGGAAATAACACAAAATGATAAGAAATAAAGCGCATCCTAGTATCTCAGACCACAAATGTTTGGGAAGGACCACTTGACACTACCTACTGCACACTATATAACCTATACAATGGAAAAAAGTGATTATTATGTGTTAAACAAAATGAAGCTGGAACTATTTAATAAATCTACAAGTATGCTTTAGAAAACAAAGTTTATGACAAAATTTTATGTAATTAGAGATATGTTTCTTTACAGGCACCACTGCACTTAAATGTCATATAATTTATCAGTGCAAGTACTCAAACAAAAGTATGCACATGATAATCTACACTAGAAGATTACAAGTTTAAAGATATGTTGATTTACCTCAACAGGTTCCAGGAGCCCTTCCATTGCATTCCTTACATCATCAATTAATTCATAAATAACTCTATATAATCTAATCTCAACAGCTTTATTGTCTGCATAACTTTTCACAGAGCCTGGTGCTTTGACATTAAATCCCAAAATGATAGCTTTGCTTGCAACTGCTAGGTCCACGTCACTTGTGCTTACATCACCTGTTGCTTCCAACAAAAACTTCAGTGTGACATTATCTTGTGGTAGCACCTGCAGAGCTTTTCTGACAGCTTCAATAGATCCCTAGCCATGACCAAGAACAATGACATTAATTGCAGGTGAAGCAATAACTACTGTGATATCCATAAAACATATTGAAGTTGTAGCCTAAATACAATATCATCATATGTTCCCCCATTTGAGAACATTGGGGCTGGCATACAACATAGTTGCATATTTACCATAAATGATAAAGAATATGATAGATTATTGACGAGTTAGTTATTATGCCTATGGATCATCTTCCATACAGTCTACACAAAATTACAAGAACACATTATGCATGCACACGTGAACATGCATGTCTAACACCCTTAAATAACATATATAAACAGGTAATGTTGTTTCCTGAAAGATAGATTATCTTGGGTTAATTATTAACAACCATGTTAAACTAGCCTATTTCATATTAGCATATTTGTCTTCAAGAGAAAATGGTCAGAGCCTTTTGGGGTAGTAAAATATGATAAGGTAAACATTCAAGGTAAATTGGTAGGGTACATAAATTATGCTCAGGTTTCAATAATGCAACATAATACAAAATCACTGCATGAGATCACCGACAAAGACATCAATAAGTTTGACCAGGTAAGTGGTTCCGTATTTAACATCAAAAAGAAATTGTACAAATTCAAGTATTACTAGCAGCAGTGGTCATACCTGAAGATCAACCTTCAAAATTATATTTAGTTGGTGCAAGTCTAGCCCAGAAAGCTTCCCTGCTGAAACTGCAGAAGCTAAGGAAGAAAGGGTGATCTTGCCATCCCCTGCCTTTGCTGTAATGCGCTCATTTCGTAATGACTCCGCACGGGCCTCTGCCTTTTCACGAGCAGTATCAAGGGATTCAACAACCTCAAATTCATCACCAGCAATTGGAACATTATTCAATCCAATAACCTGCAGAGATGCATAGAAGAAAAATTAGAAAATTTTCAATCAGGTTGAATTTTAGCATCTATAAAAAGCCTCTCAATGTGCATTACATACATTATATTGTATATGCAGGTGCATGCACATACAATATATATATATATATATAATAGATACAGGCGAGTTGATATAATTTCAGCTGCAATTACAGAAACATCATGTCAACAACTATGCTGCCAAACAATGAATTCACATCAATATTTTAAATGATGAGTAAAATTAATCTGCATCCAGTATTTAAGTCATTAGCAAACTAATATTTGATCCATCCAGTTATTCAGTCCACAGACACATCAAAAGAAAGCACAAATCTGTGGATGTGAATCATAAAATGAAATGAAATTAGCTACAAGACTGATTAAGCAGAGAAGTTGTCCATTTGAGTTAAAGATGTTCAATGGAAAATGATATCCTCTACTTCACAACTCCCTCCCCAGTCTAAGCAAATGAAACGAAGAGAGTAGCAATGCATTATATGCCTCTTTTGTACTATGAAATTACAAACCTGTACAGGTATAGAGGGCATAGCTTCATTGACCCGTTTTCCACCATCATCAAATAAAGCCCGCACCTGAATGAAGTGAATACAAGATGTTTTACCAATGCAGGGGAAACAAAGTAGATGGCCAGAATTCAATAACCAAATGTTAAGGTCATATAGCACTGGATTTTATGTTTACGTATCTACCAACCTTTCCAAAAGCTTCTCCACAAACTACCACATCTCCCCTTCTAAGAGTGCCATTCTGCACAATAAATGTAGCAAATGGTCCTTTTGATTTATCTAGCCCTGCCTCAATGACTGTGCCCTTCGCACTTCTATCAGGATTCGCTTTCAGCTCTTGCAACTGAACCATAATGCTTAGTTCAGAATGAATACCAGAAAGATAAAAGAAAGGCCCAAAAAGTGTAAATTTTAACAAGCACTGTCAAATTATCCAATAATAGTCTTCTCAGTCCCACAAAAGAACCAAAAATTAATCAAGGTATCTGCCACATGGAGGAGACTTCAGAATGCTAAAACACCCAAAACATGATAGTTGTTTTATACAATATGCACCAAAGAGGATTGCATATCTATTAAAGCTGGAAGGTGAGTGTTAAACTACATCCATCTTTGAAAAAGTAACAAAAGGTTCTGAAATGCCTAAATATTACTCTCATAGTGATTTATTTCTATCTATTGATCGCACATTATATGCTAAAAGAAAGATTTTATATCAATAAAGAATAACATACGAACATTAAAATGTATAAACAATCAGACAAAGAGATAGCATAGTTGTAGAGTTAACTGACATCAACAGCCAAAAAGATACCTCAGCAACAAGCATAACAGTTTCCAAGAGATCATCTATGTTCTTCCCTTTAAGAGCACTTATCTGTTGACATAAGAGAAAGAGAGAAACATATAATTTCCTAAACGTTAAAGAAGCATAAACAGGATAAGAAAATTATTAGAACAAATAAGAAATATAAACCTGAACCATTGGGATGTCACCACCCCAGTCTTCAGGCATTAAACCAATTGAAGAAAGCTCTTGCATGACTCGTTCTGGATTTGCTCCATCTTTATCTATCTGATTCAAATAAATAAATAATAATGTGTCAACAATTCCTCAAGTCCCCCACAAAGCAAGAAAAATTTTCAAAATGATGTAGGAAACATGTCATGTTGGCATACCTTGTTTATAGCAATGATCATGGGAACTCCTGCTGCTTTGGCATGAGCTATAGCTTCATTTGTTTGAGGACGAATTCCATCATCCGCAGCCACAACAATAATAGCAATGTCTGTTACACTTGCCCCACGAGCTCTCATTGCCCCAAATGCCTGCAGGAGTGTATATAATCTATATCATCTAAAGGGAAGGAAAAGAAAATGAAAAGTTGAGTAATAGTTAATAATTCAGCAAACATGCTAGCATAAGTCAGCAAGTGGTCACGTGGATCCAGCAGAAGGAATAGCATGAGTAGTTTTCATATTTATAAGGAAAAAAGTTAGAAGTGGAAAATTTTATTAAAACTGAGCATACCTCATGCCCAGGAGTGTCAAGGAAAACACAGGGCAGCTGTTTGCCATCAACAGGTACTTGCACTTTGTAGGCCCCAATTCCCTGTGTTATCCCACCAGCTTCAGAAGCAGCTACCTGTTAACAATTGATACATCAGGCTAAAATTGAATGGCAGTGTACTATGGGCATCAATAGGAGAAGCTCCAGAAATTACATAATTACACCATATTCAGATGCTATACAAGACAAATCTAGCATAGAAAATTCAGAAAAGGGCGCAGGGTACAGCATAGCATTTCATAAACACATAAACAACATCTGTAACTAATTATTGGCAAAAGGAGAAGCAACTATCTTTCAAATATTTTACACACACAACTTACAATTTAGCAACCCATTTACTGTTCTCAGGTCAATTTCTGTCTTCATAAAAGCCCTCAAAATGCTTCAAGTTTGAAAGGTAAACTAATCCCTAATATTGCAAGTCATGGATTGCACATAACTGTCTTACAAATTTAGGGCCACATCTGTCCTGGAAACCAGCAGTAGTCCACCCCCCACAAGAAACAGTTGCATTATAGGTGAGACACATCAACAAGGGAAAAAATTATCAAATGTGCATATTGTACTAAACCTAATCAAACCTCATAAAAATTGTCTAAAACATGGTAATAATCACTCACAACTAAACATCCACATGACATCTATATGCTCATGCTTGTTTAAAGATACAGAAAGAAGCATAACAGTTTTACTAAATTTTCACCATACCTTGCTCTTCCGTATATAATCCAAAAGAGTTGTCTGCCAAAGGATAACATCAACAGATATCAGAGAAAGGAAGAATTCAAGGTGAAAAACTGGAGTTAAATGAAGAACACAGAGTGATGTCACTTACCTTGCCATGATCCACATGGCCCATAATAGTAATGACAGGAGGCCTGTCTTTGAGTTTGTCAAGGTCGTCTTCATCCAGAATATCCCTTTTCTTCACTAAACCTTCAACTTTGATGGGATCAGCATCTATGACTTCCACATCATACTCTTTACAAACCATCTTCACCATATCTTTGTCTAGTGTTTGTACCCCATCCGGTTTGATCCCCTTGGAGTATAGATAACCCAGGATTTTTCCTTCACTGATTGCCAAATTGTAGGCTAATTCCTCCACTAGCATACCTTCGTTACCAACCTCTAGAATTTCTACTTTGACAGGAGCTGCATCCTTGGCAGCCTGGAGTCTTGCTGCCTTTCGACTTGCTTTACTCCATTTTCTTCCTTTTCTTGCTGTTGCAGCACCGGGAATAGAGACATTGAGTTCTGATGTGTCCTCATCATGAATCACATCATTATCATCCACTAATCGCCTTCTGCCAGCCGGAGCACCTCTCCTCCGGTAATCATCTTTGAACTTTCCAGGAGGAGGCGCCTTTCCTGGTTTTGGAGGGGCTATAACCGCTTGAGCAATTAGAGGATCAACTACTGGCTTCTTGGCAGCAAACTTATCAACCAAGATTGGTTGCTTCCTTTCTTTAGATTTCACAGACGTTTCAGCTGCACCCTGATTCCTCAAGACAACAGGTTTTTTTATGGGTGGCGGAGCTATAGAAGGTTTAGCTTGTAACATGGGTTGAGGTCTCAAAGGCCGCTGAGGAGGACGAGACTGAGACATTACCTTCTCCCCTCCCTTCGTTTGAGACTTCTCCCCTTCATTCTTGTAATTAGGCTTCGGTACTTCCTTCACAACCTTCTCCACAGCTGCAACTGTGTCCCCTTTACGCCACACACTCTTCAAGGTCTTAGACTTCTGCATTTTCGTGGAATTTACCGGTTTATCAACCTTAGGATTAACATCTGTATTAGGTCTTTCTGGTTTTTTTACCGAACCGTTATTTCTTTCACCATTCAACTTCGAATTTCCCAGCTTTTCAGCCTTCTCCAACACCTCTCCAAGTGACTCAATCACTTTATTCCTCTCTTCCACAGCATCAGTGCCCCCAAAAGTCCTTGAGGAGCCTAAAATGGGGTCACCCTTATTGTCTGAGGACTTAAACACAGGCTTAGGAGGTGGCTTAAGCACAAAACCAGCACTATCATCCCCACCTTTACTACTACTACTACTGTTAGAATCAAGGGGCACTGAATTTCCTTGGTCAGCAACAAAATCAGTTGTGGTCACTGAATATCTACACACAGACAATGACACACAATGCCATCTTCTGTTCACCACACACTTCCCTCTAGAAAGAGAGACTCTCCTCACCGCAGAATGAGACCTTCCAGAGGAACTCACACCCATGAGGCTCCCCAAGCTCACAGGGGAAGCAAGAGAACCCATTGTTCCTTGCACGTTTCCCACTAATATTAGCATATTGAGCCTCACCCCACAACACCAAAACAAACAAAAAAATGTTCCAAAATTATAATATCTTCTGAAACCTCAACAATTCCTCATTATAGCACACACCCCAGTTAACAATTAAACCTACCCAGATACCAAATTCCCATGAAAAGTGACAAAACAAGAGTAAGATTAATATTTCTGGCCTAGTAGAACAAAAGGGGTATGGTACCTCAGTTCAAAGACAGAAACTTTGTGTATCAAATTGGGGTAGAACATGCAAAAGGGTTCTGGGTATTGCACAGCAAGGTGACATTCATAGAACGAAAAGCGTGAAAATGTGAGAGAAGAAGAAGGGTAGTGAGGGAGTGATTTTTTGTGGCTATAGAAGTGGTGATAATCTTATGGCATTTTCCAAGGGCATGTGTGGACGGTTATCTACCTGTCAAATTTTGTGTAGCGAATTGCGATAAGGCTCTTTTGTTTATGTTTTTTCTTTTTCTTTTTCTTTGTTTTCGGGGTTTTTTATGCACTTAGTCTCTTTCTTGCCCTCCTACATGTCTCCTCAAGGCAAAATAAGCTTAGTGACATGAATTACGATTTTCATAAATTGTTTTTAATTTATTAAAATATTTTTTATGATAATTAATTTACAAATTTGATGGTTATTTTTTATTTATTTTAACAAATTTTAAGATTCAATTATAATATAAGTTTTTATTTAACAAAATTATTAAATAAATACTTAATTAAGTTGAATATTTAAATCTAAAATGAAAAGATTTTTTATTTAAAATTAGAAAATGAAGAACGTTGGATTGTAATTCAATCGGCTTTATAAAAGGTGTACGTAAGCACACCTACACAGTCGTAATTGTGGAGATTATTATTATTATTATTATTATTATTTAGAAAGTTGTGAAAATTCTAATATTAACGTTAATTTTTTTTATAAAATTGGCTACATTAATGGAAGTGTAAGTGAGACAGTCTGCACATCATTAGGTCATAATATAAAAAATAATAAAAGGTTCATGTAATCTTTCATAAAAAAAATAAAAGGTTCATGTAATCATATAATTTTTTATATAAATAAGGCAAATTGATTTCAGTTACTCTATTTAAATTTATGAATAAAATGGATGATCATTTAATGGATATGATAAATGAGATTTAATGTTCGTTTATAAATTGATGATAATTTCATTTACTAGAAGAAGAAAAAAGCTGATTTATGTTTCTATTTCTATAATTAGAAAAACAAATTATTAATCACAGGAGCAATTCAGAAAATTTAATATAGAAGAAATCAAATTGTATCAATATAACTTTATTAAATAAAAGATAAAAACTACATGCATACTATATAATAAATTTATTGTTAATAATAAAATAATTTCTTTTAAAATATTATAAAATTTTATTAATTTAATAAATTTTGTAATATTTTTTGTTTTTCATTTAAAAATTTGAACTTAGTTTAATCATGTACTTGAAAAACGCATTAATTTATATTATTGTTTAATATTTAATTCTTTTTAATACTTTCATTGCTGTGTAATGAACATTTTGTCAAAGTGGCACAAATTTATAGTTATAATATAGTAAATTACTTTTCTATAAGTTTTTTCACATTTTTGTTTATTATTTCTTAAATTCTTTATTAAAATTTTAAAAACTTTTCAGAAGAATATTTTTTAGATTGTATAATACAATTCATTTCCTTGTATTAAAAAAAAGTTTATTTTACCTTTCTATATATTAACTCAAGTGTAATTTAAACATTGACTTTGAAAAGCATGTAATGTGAAGTTTTATATTTTTAAAAATATATAAAAATTATTTTTTATTTAATTATTTATTTTCTCCATTTTTATAAAAAGATACTTTAAAATATCTAAATTTTCTAATTTTATCTAAAAAATGAAAAAACTAAACAGATGAATAATAAAAAAATTTAATATACTTTTAAAAATAGCGAATGTCCTGTTGCACTCTTTCAAAAATCATGATCTAAATTATAAATGATTAAATATACAAAGAGGTAAAAGAAACTTTTTACTGCATTAAATCTCATTTTAAAAGGCATGTTTTATATATAACTTCAAATGTTTTTCTTTACCACACATAACTTTGATTAAGAAACAATTATTTAGGTTCATCAATTTCAATTAGTAAACATTCATCTTTTTATAATGCATAAATTGTGTTACACTGCGATTTTTGTAAAAGTTAGCTGATAAATCTTATTAAATAAACTAAATAACTTTAAAGTTTTTTAATGGCTAAATTAAATGAATTTATAGTTGTTTCATATTTTATCCTTACCGTTAATAACAATTTAATTATTTCTAAGTAGAAGTGTGTGAGAAGATTACACTATCAGTTAAATAATTAAAAGTGTGTAAAAAGAGAAAATTATTAAATAAAATTTTTAATTTAAAAAATTTTGTTTCTTAAATTTTATTTTAACCTTACAAAGATAAAAACTTTCAAAAATTTTATTTCACACCATTGTAGGTATCGACATTATATTTTAGGAAACTAAAATAGGTATCCATATTATATTAAACTAAAATAAAGAAAGAGAAATTTATGTAACTTTTCTTTCATATGATATCTCATGATCGGGGATAAAATAAGTTAGGTTGTACAACTAAACTGAACTTGTAGTCTAATCTTTTTAAAGTTTAGTTTAATTTAACTTATTTAAGTAATAAGCTTAATTTAACTTTTTTTATAAATTTAATTGAATAAATAATTTAAGTTTAAACTTAAGAAAAAACTTATTAGACCTATTTAAAATTAATAAAATTTATAGTAATATATTGAATAATTTTATATAAAAATCATAATATAATATTATATTAAATAAAATCTTAAATTAAAAATCTTAATTCTTTTTATTGAAATTACAAAGTACTCATATTACATGCATACTCTATATAAGAAATAGTCCTTTTTGTTGGAGTCTTTTGTGTTACTTAGTATATATTATACACATAACGTTGATATGCATATGTGTTGTCTCAATTATATTTATTGCTGGTTCATTTCATTCATTATCTTTTTACATGTTTATTTATATTAAATGTAACTATTTTTACTATTTTTTTATTTTTAAATTAACAAAATACCTTCTTCAATTAAAAATAATAAAATAATTTATTTATTTAAATATTTTACTACAAAGTAGTTTATTAAAAAAGTTAGTAAGTCAAAACAGACTTTTATAAATGATAGACTAGACTTAATAAAAAGGTTATACCAGATTTAAACTTCAAAATTTTGAAGTAGTTTAAGTCTATTTAATTAAAGTCTAATTCAATTCAACCTATTAAAATTACAGAATAAATATTAAAAATAATAAAATATTAAAATTATTAAGACTTTCAAAATTTAAAGTCAGCAACTACCCCAAACACGCTTTCATCTTGATTTTTTCATTAACAGAGTTGCAATGCCTTTGTTCTAAATTTTTGAGTGACATAAGTTGTATACATGATTGGTTAATGCCACTCCATGGGCAATACATTTCTCTAGCGTTTGCAGTTTGGCGCATATATATATATTTTGAAATTATTTAATTTCGTATTTAATCTAACTATATTTCTTAAATGTATTAATATTTTTTTCAAAATAGCTCTTTAATTTTCATGATAATTGATGACTTTGTTTACAATATTTACTAACTTTATATTTATTAAAAAATTTAAATGCTGAATTAAATTTGAAAATAAAAAATAATAGAAGACATTTATAATATAAGAAGTGTGTAAATATACGTTTGTGAAAAGTAAAAATAATATATAAAGAATTGATTTTATTGATCACATACACTAATTCTTTTTTTTAAATAATGACATAAATTAGATGAACCTGTTATCTGTGTTAGTCCATATAAATAATAATTTAATATTAATAACTCTTTAAATAATATGCTATTATAACAGGATATATATGTTTAAAATTTTATTCTTTAAAGAATAATGTGAACAATGATTTTTATTTTAAAATTATTTTTTCTTGCAGGCTAGGCTCTGATACTAGAGACAGATTAATACTAGAGAGGAAGACATAAAAGATGGACAAGAAGACATATATATATATATTTACTCAAATAATAAAATGGAAATAGAATGTAAATGGGGGCAGAGTAAACACAGTTATATTATAAAGTAGTTGTAGAATAAGAAATCTGATTATTGGCAAGATTTTGTAGAACTTTTATTCTGATTTTGCAAGCTGATACAATCTCTGCACAAAAGACTAAGGATAGAAGGCTTTAAACTTTAGACAGTAAAGGTTACAAGAGAGAGCTTGTTTCAAAAATTGTTTTCTCTTCTCCTTTTTCGAATGCCTCTAACACAACTCAAAACATGAATTTATAATTCAAAAAAGTACATTGCAATAATTCTGAATATTATTGCAGAATACTCTTTTAATTTATTACATATTTCTATTGTTGTCAAATTCTGTTTGTTTCCTTGTCATTTTCCTTTGTATTATTGATAGATTCTTTTTTGATAGATTTTCTCTGCTTCTTTGTCTAATATTTCTTGTATTATTATTAGATTCTTTTCGAATAGATTCTCTTAATATGCCTTTGTAATTTTTCAGGCCTTCTTTGATATATGTTGTTGGCATTAGAGTTTATTGTAGAGGGAAAAAATTGTTTAACAATCATCTCTGTTGTTGAAGAAGTTCTCAATATTTGAACTGCTTTGAACCTCTTCTTCACCTTCAACTTGGGAGGATGTTGAAGCTATAACTTGTAAAATTGTGTTGAACTTTATTTCAATTCCTACTAAAGACAATGTTGTCATCATCCTTGATTTGTTTTGTAGAAACAAAGATTACTGATTAAGGGAGACAACAGTTGATGTTGTTGTTTGGTTTCCTTGGCTGATCCTTGAATGTTGTAGCCCTAAATCAATTTTTGGCTTAGTAATTAGGGTTAGGTTAAATTTTTCCCACCATTTGACTTTGATTACTCTTAGTAGGTATTGTACACTTGATTATTCTACTAATTTAGCTGAATCATACTCCCACATAATAATCCAAGTAATTCTTTGACTTGTCACAAAAGAGATAAGCTTATAATTCTCACCAAAGTTGGTCTTCAATATAAAATATTGGAAGTTGATAAGAATCTCTTTAGGAAAAATAGACTGAACAGGTCCAAATTCTAGGAACCACTTGATAAACCATTTTGGAAATTTTAAAGAGATTCCCTTACTAAACCAGATGAACCAAGAGTCTGTAGCTAGTTGCATAAATAACATGTTGCTCTAAGCATCAATGTAATTAAAATAATTATATTGTTGCAGCTGATATTGTATTGTAAAACTATTTGATTGATACAGAGGTTGTTGCCAATCCTGTATTGTCAAAATTTTTAATATTTTTATATTTGAAAATATTGTTTTCCTTATCTTAGAATTTTGTTGATGAGTTAGTTTTATAGACTGTGTGTCTAATAAAATTAATTTATAATA